AGGTAGGAAAGGATTGGGGCAGCTAAATCACATGGAGAAGGGTATGTTTTAGAATAATTGAGAAGTTAAAACATTGCCATGGATGGTAACATTAGATCAGATGCCTAAAGGGGGTCAGTACTTCATGTCTCTTTAGTGCCTGAATTCTTGGGTAAGTCCAGGGGAATTGTAGCCCCCACGAAAATGAGAGCAGAGATTCCTTGCTGTTTTGTTCATGTCTGTGTCCTCTCTGCCTAGGACAGAGCCTGGTACTATAGGTTTTTTTTATTTTTTTTTATTGCAAGGAGTTATGTTTCCATATATAAAATTAAATGAAGGCTGTGGTCATCTATTATGCATGAGGCATTGGGTTCAAGCTTCACCATAACATAAAAATAAAATAAATGTATTGTGTCCACCTACAACTAAAAAATAAATGTTTAAAAAATACTAAATGATAATACTGTCAAAATAGATCCCCTACCCCATCCATTGCAAACTGCCTTTTAGAGAATCATGAAGCTGGAACTTGGCCTTACACCAGCCTGAGAGGCAGACGTCACTTTGTGTCCTACTTTACAGACATAGGGAGTGTCCCAAAGTAGCACCTGGAAAGAGTCAAGGCCTCTTCCCTCATCAATGCCTTTTTTATTGACCAGACGCTATGAAACCCCTGCCTGTGAGTGAGTGAGTGAAGGGGAATGTGTGATCCAGATCAGGCTCCAGCAAGTGAAGGCTGCATCACAGGCTTACCCTCTCTGGACTTCAGGGTCTCAATATGTAAACAGCAGGCACCAAGAGAAGTCTCTGTGAACACATTGGAAAAAATTATTGTTCCCCCAAAACAAAGTGTCTCAGGCGATATCCCAAGGACAACTTCCAGAAACCCAATGGGAACCAACCAACCTGAAAATATAGAAAGTGCACAGCATCCAATGAGAAGGAGGAAGATAGAAAGGCTGTGCCATGCCATCTTCAGCCTCCCTCTATTGCCTCAGTGGGTAAGAGGGGAAACTGAGGCCCCCAATGGAGAAGACCCTGAGGTCAAATTACTATCTGAGAGCCCAAAGACCCTGCTTCCCCTCTGGGTCCACAGTGACTCCTGACAGAATTACCGGATGCCTCTCCTGACTCCCTTTACCTCCTGTGGATGCACCCACCATGCCCTCTGTTCCTGCATCACTGTGCCTCCTGGTTCCTAGGATGTGTTCAACTAAGGGGTCCTGGGTGGGGTGCTGCCTCCCACGTGCTTCCCCTGTCTTCTCCCCGCCCACTGTTCTTACTGAGTTGGGCTCCACTCACTCAGCCTGACTCTGCCTCACCAGCTCTGCCCACTAGGTCCTCTCCACTTTTTTTCATAGGCTCCACCCAGCATCTGGTCTCTTACCTGCACTGTTCTGCAGAGCCACGCCCACTCCATCCATTTGATCCTCTGCATTCTGTCCACGTGACTCATCCTCCAATGACATATTTAACAGTCTGGGATTGCAGGTTTTTCCCTCTAGCTCTGGAATGTTTGCAGTCTGGGTTGGCCCAATTCCACCAGCATCCACTAGCATACCAAATGGCTCTGCTCTTCTTCATTAGGCATTGTTTTCCATCAAGATCACTCCTACACCAGCCTCCCTGTCACCTAGCCTCTCCATTGCTCCTTGAAAACTCCACCTGAAATGAATGAAAGAGATCTTGCAGAGATGCCCATGGTTGTGACACCACTGAGTCTAAGGGACAATTACCTTTGGGCTCTGGTCACGTTTGAACCCCACATCTTCAATGGTTCACCTTGAACCACTCTGCTAACCACAGAGTATCTCCATTTACAAAATTCCAGATGATGACAATACTTTATTTGCATAAATATGAGCATGTTTTCAGCACTATCTTTGTATTATGGATGCAGAAGAGGCACTGTCAAGCAACTAGCAGCGGTCCCTGCCCTATTTGTGAAAGAGCCCAGCCAGATTTAAAAAGCATGTTTTCAATGGACATGGCCTTCTGCTTTTTTAAAGCTCTGTGGCCTTCAGCACCTTCTCTTACCCTTTCAGCACAGGATGGGCACAATTACATGGCAAACAAGAGTCATCTGTGATCTCTTTTCCAGCCAGCCTGGGGCATCTCAGAATGAGGAAGCATAGGTATCTGGTCATGGCCATCTTTCTCAGGGTTCAGTCTCAGAAGAGAAAGCCTCTTTGTAATGACTTCTGTATAACTATGGTTTATTCTGACAGCCTGACCCAATGCTGTAGAGACAGGGCAGTGGTTGGGGACTTGGGCTTCAAGCTGCAGAAACTGAACTAGGTGATTTAATTTTAAAAGAAAATGACACTGGGGAGGTCAAGGAATCTGATAGCAAAGTTCAATAAAACCAGGATGTGGGTTTTGCCAGGTGATTTCAGTGGCCAAAACCCCTTTATAGTTCTCGCTGAACCCCATTGTTATATGAGCACACTGGAAGCCTTTCTGCAGGAGTCACAAGACAACTGGCCAAGGAGAGCCATTGTTCCTGAGGCAGTGTCCCCCTCAGAGTTTTAATACCCTTGGTTGTTGGCCAGAAGTGACTGGAAGTTTCTTGTCCCTGCCCAAAGCCCATGGGCACTTTACAAGCCATGTCCTGGGGAGCTGAACTGGGCCAGGGAGGCACAAAGGGGATGGGGGTGGTCATTACCTGATGGCTCGGAGGGTGGCCTTGAGAGTGGGGATCATGTCTCGATGAGGAAGTCATTTCCGTAGCCCCTGTCTTCTGCCATGGGATAGCCTGTCCCAGCATCTGGGAGGGAGACACAGGTGTCAATGGCAGGCCTCAACATGTGGGGAAGCTCTGAGACTCTCCCTGGAGTAGGAGCTTCCAGGCCTCAGGCTTTGTCTCCACTTTGTGGGGCCGCACTGTGGCCTCCAGCTGCCACAGCACCCACCCTTCCTTGCACCCCCTTTCTTGTCCAGAAGTTTGAGTTAGAGGCCCGAGGGCTGGGGAGGGCATGTGAAGTGGGCAAAGTATGTCCCACAGGACCCAAGAGGTCCCATGAGACAGCAATGGACACCTTTGAGGACCTCAAAGTCTGATAGATCTGAAGTGGGATTCTTTCTCTGTCGGACTGTCCTGGTGACCTTGGGAAGTCACTATCTGTGCCATTCACACTTCACAGGTCCCAGAGAGTACCCAGCAATATGGTGAGAGTGAAGGACCCAGTGGCCTCAGACACTGGAGTCACTGCTCTCCTGCTGGCCCTCCCTCTTCATGAGTAGAAGATGCACAGGAGGCCATTGTTCCTATGGCTCCTCAACACAGGGGGGGCTTTTCTGACCCCTCTTCCTCCCCCCAGACCTGGGTACTGAGGCGTCCATCTGCAGATGGCTGTGCAACTGGTCTCTGCCTTCAAATTGACCTGCAAAGCTGTTTGCCCTTCAGGGCCACCTCAGAAACCATGGCAACCTGCCCCCAGCTCCCTGGAGACAGCCAGGAAAGCAGCTAACTCGGGAGCCTCCTGTCCTATGAGCCCTGATGCCTGGAGGGACATGAATGAGATGACGGAGAAGGAGGGAAGGGAGAGGCACTTTGGGGACTCAAGAGTTCTTCAAAGGAGAGGAGGGGAGGTGGGGAGGAGGTGTGCTCAGGAGAGCAGAAGTCGGGGAGACAGGCAGAGGACAGGAGGACAGGAGGCCCTTACCTTGGGAGCTCTGCCAGAAAGCGTAGGCTTTCATGCGGAAGGCGGTGCGGAAGCACTCTTTATTGTTTAAGCCAGCAGGCTTTGGCTCTTTAGAAGGACTTTCTTCTATGGCATCTACATTCAGAGGGGTAAATAGCTTTCCTTTAGTATTGCTACCACGAGGATTAGAAAGGCGAACCCGATCCAAGAGACCCAGCTTTTGGCTACAAAATAAGCAAAAGTGAACAATTTTCCTCCTTAAGTTCAGGCTCTTGTAACTTCCCATCCTTCCATAAAGACTCAATGTCCTCCTCCAAGGCTGATGGGGAGTAGTGCCCAGTGAAGGACAGGTTGGGGCTCACATGCTGGGCACCAGTGCACAGCCTCACATCTTGGGAGAGCTCCTCAACTCTCTGGACCCAGCTTCCTCCTATGCTAAAGTGGGGCGCACATAAGATACAGTAAGAGCGTCCACCCCTCTATGGTTTCCCTTTCTGTAGTTTCAGCTATCTGCTGTCTACCACTATCTGAAAATGTTACTAGAGTGCAATGAAGGATTAAGATATTTTGAGAGAATGCATGCACATTGCATAACTTTTATTTTATCCTATTATTATAAATATTTATTATCTGTTATTGCTGTTCATCTCTTACTGTGTCTAATTTGTAAATTCAATTTTATCCTAGGTGTGGGTGTATATGTAAAAAACAAAAAACACCCAGTGTATGTCAGGCTCTGCACCACCTTGTTTCAGGATCCATAGGGATCTTGGATGCATCCCCTGTGGATGAGAGGGGCTACTGGGAGGTTCCTGTCTCATAGTTCATGCTGAAAAGATTCGTTGCTTCTTCATGTCTCTCCCCTCTGTATCAATGACTTTCTGTCTTTCCTTTTTTACCACATTGTGGTGCAAAATATGACTTACACAGGCAGATCCTTATCAAATGCCCCTTGAATAGAACTAAATAACATAAAGCCATAAAGTGGCACCTTTAACCTGCTATCCACAGACAGAATCTAGGGGGTCCAGGAACTTGGGTGGAAAATGATACCTTTAAGATTCTAGCCTTTAACTAAAATTTATCATCTCTTTCAATTAACAAATACAGGTAACAAACTCCACCAATATCCCCAATGCCTATAACTGCCCACAAAAGAAATTATAGATAATTTTATGTCCTATTAGTTCAAGGTATTGTTTATGCTCATGGCAGCTTCAAGGTTATCATAGTATTCAACCTGCCACTAGGTCTTGTCCTTTAGTACAACACAATGAAGCATGTATTTGACAGCTCAAATTTTTAAGTATTTAACTCTATTTAATACTTAACAACCAGTTTCTTTTATAACTGCATATTATATTTTATTTATGGATTCAAATAAGTATTCTCAGAAAGAATCCGTGAGTTTTGCCAGACTGCCACAAAAGTTCTTGGCACAAAAAGTAGTTGATAACAAATATACAGTTGTCCTGGTACAAAATATCAGCTCCTGGTACAAAATAACACCTCCACTTGAGGCCAGGTCTATCCTTCCCATCTGGCTGACATTGGCCAAGCCATGCTGTTCCTGACCCTCAGGAGCCTCATCTGTAAAATAAAGGTAAGCATTCCCTGTTCCATTGGGTTGCAATGAGACGATGTTGGTCAAATATTTGACAAAGAACTTGATACATGGTAGGTGCTCTTTAAATATGAATTTCTTGTGGTGCACGACTGTAATCCCAGCAGCTTGGGAGGCTGAGGTAGGAGGGTCATGTGTTCAAAGCCAGCCTCAGCAAAAGCAAGGTACTAAGCAACTCAGTGAGACCCTGTCTATAAATAAAATACAAAATAATGCTGGGGATATGGCTCAGTGGTCGAGTGCCCCTGAGTTCAATCCCCAATATATCCCTCCCCAAAAATAAATAGATATGAATTTCTTCCCTCTATTTCCCACCCTCTGTGCTGTTGCACTAGTTGGCATAAGAAATAGTGATTTCTGTGTGAAGATATCTGGAGAGTCATATTGCATATTTTCCCACATAAATAGGCTCCAGTCATTGGCTTCCTCTCCAGTACTCTACATGGGGCTTAGCACAAAATAGGGTCTCATGAGAGGGTGACTGTGTATGGGGGTTCCATCAGTTCCCTGTGGGCCTGGGACCACTCTGTGTTCTGAGAAGCCAGTGTCACTGCCACAGCTGTGGGCTTCTGCCTTTGCAGCCTAGGGTTGTGTGGAGGGAGGTCCTAGGGTGGGGCTGCGGGGCTCAGGTGGGAATGCCAACCCTGCTAAGAACTCCTGCACTCCCTGAGCACCAGGTCCTCATCTGGTACAGGGGCCTGACAACTGCTTCATAGAGGCTTGGGGACTGTTACACATGATGTTATCTGTGACACATCCTGCCTGCAGCCTGGTAAATAGAAGTCACTAAGAAATATTGTATAAATAAGTAAATAAACAGATGACTATGAGAATAAGCAATGGGCACCCCTTATTTCTTGCTCCCTCTGGGGCTATTCTATCTCATCCTGCACTGTTCACAGCAGTTTGGTTGAAGGACCCCATGAATAACCAGCCCAGGGTACATTTAGATAAACTCCAATATTCAACCAGCTCCATCTTCCCTAAGCTGAAGTCAAAATTTTTGGAGCTGCCTTCCTGACCAATATTTGGTGAATAGCAAATAGGCAGAGAAGATGTCAATGGTGGATAAGGCAGGAAGTGAACTGAGCACATAGAGAAGGCAATCCTGCCCACCAAGGAAGAAGAGGCTTTGGCATTTACTTTTCAGGCCATCTTCCCTCTTGGCCCCTGCCTACCTGTCCTGCTACACCTCCAAGTGGCTCCATCTTTCTATCTTCACCAAGCCCTTTGTCCTTCCCAAAGGGTCCTCCCACACAAACAGGTCCACCTGTCTGCAGTGCCCTTTTTCACCTCCTCAGACAACCTCATTCCTATCTGCAAACCTATGTACAAGTGTCCCCCCTTGGAAATTAGATACTCCTCATCTGCTCCAAAGTCATGTTGTATTTCTCTCTGTCATATATTAACACACTGTGTGGATAAACCATTTCCACATCTGCTAGGCAGAGCCTCTGCCTAGTTATTTTGGGCCTAGCACACTCCCCTGCCCAGTACATCTGGATGCTCAGCATGGTAACTCAGGTCATGGGCTTTGGGAAGAGACATCCTGGTGAACCATGTGACCCAGGACACATAACTTGTGCTCTTTGGTCTCCAGCTTCCTCACAAGCAGAATAAAGACAGTGAGCCTGTACTTCACACAGCTGACGAAGAGTTAAATGCAGTAATGCTTGTAAAGTACTTTGCCCACTGTCTGGGATGCAGGAAGTGTTTAATAAATGCTGGCTATCATCATTATCTTGGTAAATAATCCTCTTCTCACAGAAGCAGTGGAAAGCTTACCACATTTGTGAAAATAGTGGATACAATTTCCTGGGCCACAAATAAAATAAAATAAAATAAAAGGTTTGTGTGGTGTTTTTAAATTTTATTTTATTCTTTTACATGAACTGAGATGAGCTTTGGGGATTTATATATTATTTTCCAGTGCTTCTTAATGCTAATCTCAAAACATTCAACATTCAAAAAGAACACATTCCAAGACCGCACTAGATCTTGGAATGTGTTCTTTTTTCCATATTTTTTGCTGGTGTGTTATGGTTGTACATATTGGTGGGATTTATTATTACACATTCATACATATGCACACAATATAATAACATAATTTGGCCAATATTATTCCCCAGTATTTATCCTTCCCTTCTTTCCTCCTTCCCCCTGGTAACTTTTCTCTGTTCTACTCATCTCCCTTTGATTTTGATGAGATTTCCTCCTACTGCTCTTTTCTTTTTCCTCTTGAACTTCCATATACGAAAGAAAACATATGGCCCTTGACCTTCTATGTTTGGCTTATTTTGCTTAACTTATGTTCCCCAGTGCTATTTATTTTCCTATAAATGTCATAATTTCATTCTTCTTTATGGCTGAATAAGATTTCATTGTGTCTATACACCACATTTTCTTTATCTGTTCATTACTGATGAACACCTAGGCTAGTTCCATAGTTTGAGTATTGTGTATTGTCTTGCTATAAACATGTGCGTGCATGTATCACTGTGGTGAGATGACTTTAAGTCTTTAAGATTAATAGTGAGGAGTGATATAGCTGGTCATATGGTGGTTCCCTGCCTACCCTTTTGAGGATCCTGGATTCTGATTTCCATAATGGCTGTACTAATTTACATTCCCATCAACAGTGTAAAAGTGTTCCTTTTTCTTCACATCCTCTCCAGAATTTATTATTTTTTGTACTATTGATGGCTGCCATTCTGACTGGAGTGAGATGAATTCTCAGAGAAGTTTTGATTTGCATTTCCCTGTTTGCCAATGATGTTGAACATTTTTTAAATATTTTAGCAATTTCCACTTTTTATGAAAAGTATCTATTTAGTTCATTTGCCTATTTATTAATTGAGTTATTTGATTTTTGGCATTAAGTTTTTGGGTTCCTTATACATTCTGAATATTACTCCTCTGTCAGAAGAGTAGCTAACAAAGATTTCATTCCATTCTGTAGGTTCTCTCTTCATATTCCCAATTGTTTATTTTGCTGTGCAGAAGCTTTTTAATTTGAGGCTATCCCATTTATTACTCAAAGCATTATTTCCTGAGCTTTAGGGGTCCTATTGAGGAAGTCGTTGCTTGTGCCTACATGCTGGAGTGTTGACCCTATGTTTTCTTCTAGGAGTTGCATTGTTTCTGGTCCAATTCCTTGATCCATTTTAAGTGGATTTTGTGCAGTGTAAGAGATGAGGGTCTGGTCTTATTCTTCTATATATGGATAATCAGTTTTGGGAATGTGATCTTTATGTCTATATAGAAAAGACTCCAAAGGCAGTGTGAACTTATGCATGATTGAAGACCTCATTGGTCTGGAGGGAATGAAAATCAAGAATATGCTGGAGGGAGTCTTGAGACCTGGATCATATAACCTCTGCTGCTCATGCGCTGTGTGATATAAGGTGAGCCTGTCTCCTCGAGGGTTCTCAGTTTGTATAAATCTATCTAGATGAGTAGTCTGGTTTTCTTCCCACCCTGCCTCTGTGAGTCATGAGCTGCTGCAGTTTCTCTAGAAAATGTCCTCTGACCTTGTCATCAAAATTCATCTAGCCCTCTTCTACAGTCCACCCCCAATGACCTCTACAGTCCAAGCT